GGAGGGGAGGGGGGGGGGACGGGACGCACCGGCCTTTGTTCCGCCCGCCGCCGCCGCTCGTCAGCTGTGCGGGCCGCCCCGGCCCCGCCCAGGGGAGGCTGCCCGGTGGGTGGCCGTGGGGGAGCCCGGTGGGGCCGCGGAGACTGGGAGGGCGGTGCAAAACATCGGATTTTGGGGGTTTTCGGTTTGTTCCGAGCCGCGGGTGTTCGTGGGGATCGCTCTGAGGTACCGGGGGGGGCTTGTGGGTGGGCGGCTGAGAGCTGGTGGGGCAGGCGGGCCTGGATTTGAGACAGCAGATCTATAGGCCAGGTTTAGCCTGATACAACCTGAAAGCGTGTGCTTCCCCAGCAATCCTTCATTTAAACAATAAACAAAAATGAAACTAATTAGGCAGGGACTTACTGGAGGGAGTCCGGTGGAGGGCTAACAAGGTGATCAAGGGAGTGGAGCCCCTCTTATGAGGAAAGGCTGAGAGACCTGGTCCTGTTCAGCCTGGAGAAGAGGGGACTGAGAAGGGATGTTATCAGTGCTGATCAATATCTAAAGGGTGGGTGTCAAGAGGATGGACCCAGGCTCTTCTCAGTGGTGCCCTCCAACAGGACAGGGGGCAACGGGCACAAGTTGGAACATAAGAAATTCCATCTTAACATGAGGAAAAACTTGACATTGAGGGTGCCAGAGCACTGGAACAGGCTGTCCATTGAGGGAGCGGAGTCTCCTTCTTTGGACGTACTCAAAACCTACCTGGGTGTGTTCCTGTCCAGCTTGCTCTGGGTGACCCTGCTTTAGAAGGGTTGGACCAGATGATCTCCAAAGGTCCCTTCCGACCCCTGCCATTCTGTGTTCCTCCAAAAGACAGCCAGCAGGGTGAACTTGCTCTAGATGGCTGATCACCTGAAAGCAGGAACTGCTCCTGGCTCTGGTTTCATGCCTCCAAGAGCTCAGTTCCTGCCATGAAATGGGTGGCCTGTTACAAACACTCATTCAATGTTTTGTTTGCAGGATGGAAGAGGAATTGGCAGCTCCTTCCACATCCACAGACAAGACAGACAGGTAAGATGGGAGTTGGAGTTGTCAGTTACTAAAGAACATAAAATCCAGGGGTTATTGAGTGAAACAAAAAGTTCACCCTTCAAATCAATTGGTTAGGCTTGAAGTTTAACAGATGTGGATGCTGTAGATGCTGAAACTGATGCCCACCAGCAATTTGCCCAAATCTAGTGCAACAAAAAACCCCTTTCAATACCCAAATACCAGCTACTGTTTGGTAAATTCTTGGTCTGTGAGTTAGTGCTGGAGAAGCATTTGGGTGGCACAAGCGTGTGACCAGCGAGTAGTAGTACACCTCTGGGTAGCTCCTCTTGCCCCTGTCCAGGATGGTCTGGGATGGACCTTCTGGAAATGGAGCTGTGTGAGGTGCACTGAATTTAAACCAAGATGTGCATCTATCGTTCTTCTCAAATGCATCATGCTGTGCTATGAGAAGTCATAACTTGGATTTATTCTTCTTGGCTTAGTTAGCATCGGAGTCTGGTGAAACACTACAGTACTCAGTGTTGTATTGGTTTGCAACTCCAAAAAGTATATTCTTTAGCATCCTTTGTCATATCAGATTCCGCTACCCGCTTCTTGCAACAGCTGGTTAAAATTAACCTGTCTGCCCTCGGTCGTCAGAACTTAAAGTTGGTCCAGATTTAAACAAATAAAACCAACCACAGACACCTTGGTAGTTATAACCACCGTAAAGTATGCAGCTCAGTCCTATATAAAGGTGACTAGGTTTTGAAAGCTGGATATGAAATTACTATGGAAACTAACGAAATCCTGTATTTGATTTATTTTTATCCACCCCTCTCCAGTATGGATGTGGACGGAGAATCAAAGAAACTATTGGGCTTAGGACAGAAGCACTTGGTAATGGGAAATATTCCGGCTGCTGTTAATGCGTTCCAGGAAGCTGCGAGCTTACTGTGAGTAGTAGAATGTTTTGTGTGTTTTTGCAGGTCTTGGTTTTCAGCTTGGCTGAGCTGAGGAGGCTTAATAGAAGAAAGATTAAGATTTTTTTACCTTATATATGCTGCTGTATTTATAGTACAACTGAGAAGAGGACAAAGGATTTAAATTAACTCAGGCGTTGGACAGTGCTGTAGTCGGTGTACAGTTCAGACAGCTTTTTGTGATAGCCATGGCCAGTGCAGCTACCTAAGGAGGGGAAGGGATTTCATATATTTCACAGTGCGTGGTTCTGATGTCTGTTAATAGGAAAATAATGGGATAGTGTTACTTGCTAGCAAGTTGTTCACTTGTCTTGATCAGGTCTTGAGAGTGATACCCCTTTGGGGCTTAGATTATTTGCTTTGCTGGATGTTTGAGCTAAGTGAGAGAAGCATTCGTTATTTGTTTGAAACAATGGGAGATGAGCTAAGAAACTGATCCTTCCTGTCCAGGAATTTTTAGTCTTCAAGTTCATGTATCAAAATCTTAAGTAGGCCCAGGCAAATAATTCTTCATTATTTTTGTAGGGGTAAAAAATACGGTGAGACAGCGGATGAGTGTGCAGAAGCTTTTTTTTACTATGGCAAGTCTCTCCTGGAGTTGGCAAGGTATGCTAATGGTTTCTCATTTGATCAGGAGAAATAATGAAATGATTATTGGTGTAACAGGATTTCACCCTCGTAGACAGGGTTACACTGGGTGGGATGGGCCACGGCCCTGCAGCTTGTGCAGTGAAAACAGTGTCATTTCAAGAGCTGAGGGATAACAGCCTTTTGTTCCCTTCAGAATGGAAAATGGTGTGCTGGGAAATGCCTTGGAAGGGGTGCAGGTTGAAGAGGAAGGAGAAAAAGCTGAGGATGATGCTGCGTTGCCAGCTGTCGATGGTATGTAAAGCTGTGTGCCGTGGCGTGGAGGCACCCGGCTGCCTTTCCTTGTCTAAACAATCCAAGTTCAGTCCATCGGTACCTTAGGTAGCCTGAATCATTCTATTGAAAGTCTTAGCAGCCTGAATGGACTTTTTCTTTCTTTTTTTTTTTGTGCTGATTTGAACAAAACCTTTAAAACTTGTGCAAAGAACTGGTCACTGAAAGCATGTGTAAAAGGTTACCAGGTGTCTTGTGTCCTGAAATGCTGCATTCAAACTTACTTTCTTAAGCTTCACAGCCGGCTCGAACTGCTTTGTAACCTTGTAGCAGTACAGTCTGTGTAGTAGGACAGCTCAGTCTCTGTAAAAAAAAAAAAAAAAAAAAAAAAAAAAAGAAAGCCCAAGAACAGTAACTATTTTATATTCCCTGCAGCTGGAGATAATACAGGAATTCCTGTCAATCCAGACTATTAAAACACTGGCACCTCTTGCTTAAGCTGTGACTAAAAACGCTGGCGCGCAA